CATGATGGAGAACAATCGTAGGCTAGAGAAAGAGCAGTATATTTAATATGAATAAAAGATATAGGGTAACGTTCCACAGGCACCATGATTGCATGGCCGAGCCATGCCATCCGATCAACTCCAATTAATTCAACCCAATGTTCCTGCTTTTTCCGTCGTTAGGTATTTATCCGAGTTAAATATTGAGCGTCTATTTTCCGAGCAGTCTCGTATTAAGCTTTGAGGATTGTGTGGTTGTGGTCCAATGCCACTACAAATCCACTGAACGTCGAAGTAGCACACAAAACACCTCCCTGTATAATGCGCCCCACGAACAGTCGAAGAAACCAAGGTGGCCTTCAGACAAACCAGGAGTTGGAAAACCGTAGGACCTGACAACACACCGTCTGAAGCATTGCAGTTAGGCAGAAGTAACTGCAGGCATTCTTCACACTGTATTCAGGAAGATTTGAGAGTAAAAACAGGTGTCGACAAACTGGAAAGAAAGACACCTCATCAACATACCAAAAAGAGATCCGAGCGAATGTGAAGACTACAGAGGCATCACGCTACAATCTATATCCGCAAACGTTTTCATCAAATTTTTCGCTGAACTTGATGAAAGACTTAGTAGATGCTCAACTACGATATTATTTGACAGGATTCCAAAAGGATCTGTTGTGTACTGACCAATCAAGACAGTACGAAACATTGTTGAACAAAGGAGAAAACATGGTGTTCACCACCAATAATAATGATCACGGAGAGATAACCTCATATCTGGAGGGCAGAACTTTTCGTTAACTCACGGTCTAGCGGGATGCAACTGACCAATTGTACTGATGTCAGTTTTCCGTGTCGAATACCTGGAATTGTTTTTACTTCTACTGCAAGTAAATCCAGACTGTTGCACTAATCTAAAGTCCGCTCACTTCTCCATAATTTTGTGGGTTTAAAACAATAATAGACATGAAAAGAGGCATTTTTGTACCTACACATTGTGTTCTTATTACGTATTTGAAATATGGATATTCTTACATTTTGAGCTGTTTTTAATCCCCTCCATTCACATGGTCTCTTACCCATTCGCCACCATACGTTTGTTCTATCTTCTTCAACAAAGCGAAATGCACATGCGTGAAAATGGACCTATTAAATGTAAACAAGACCAAGTATTCATGCCTTCACATCTCCATCACAAATCAGCCGACTTCGTCGATAATAACCATATCCTGTTTTACTTGATATTGCTTTACTTGAATCTTCCCATTGATGTTTTTTGGACTGAAATTGATCAGTCTCTTATTGGCATATGTGCATATTGTGCGTATGCCTCAATATTGCCTTAATTTACAAGCATTATAATCGAAGATGAATAGTGGCTAGCATTGGAATCTAGGACGCGCGTTTCGTCCTGTTTGGGACTCGTCAGTTGGATGTAACTTCATCTCAGAGTTGATGTTCACTCTGGCACTCGAAGTAAGTACCGTTCGCTTCAAACGCCATCGCGTTATCCACTTAGCTACTGAGTCCTGATAGCCACTGCTAGCCACTATTCATCTTCGCTTATAATGCCTGTAAATCAAGGCAATATCGAGGCATACACACAGTATGCACATATGCCAACAAGAGACTGATCGATTTCAGTCCTAAAAACATCAATGGGAAGATTCAAGTAAAACAACACCAAGTGAATTTAAACTTCATCCCATTGCACAAGCAAGGGGCTATCAGAACTCATTAGCTCAGTGGATAACACGATGGCATTTGAAGCGAACGGTACTGATTTCGAGTGCCATGGTGAACATCAACTCTGAGATGAAGTTACATCCAACTGACGAGTCCCAAACAGGACGAAACGCGCGTTTTGGATTCCACTGCTAGCCACTATCCATCTTTGCTCATATCTTGTTTTGTTCTCGCCTTTTGTTCTCTAATCTTTTTCTCAGCACGCTCCGATATACTAGCAAAAAAACATTTCCGGAACACATGACTTCATCCAGAGCTTTCATCAATACCTCCAGTGATTCAATTGTGCTCAATATGAGCCTGGTAAATGTACTGCCTGTGTACACTATCAAGAGGCATGGAGTAATACGGTAATGTCTTCGTTCTAAATTGACCGATTTCGCATTAAACGCGGTATTTCTTGTTAGAAAGAGCTTTGGACTTTACCTGCATTCATTTCGACCACCAGTTGCTTATTACAACAAAACGTCCATAAAGTGAGTCAGCTTCCACATTGAACTTACTCATTTCACCAACATTATTCATTTACTAATGTAAGAAAATTTGCCTAATTGTTTCTGTCACCATAGTGTCTTACAAAATATCAACCTAGCTTAATAACAAATTACCATATATCCCGTAACATTTATAAAAATTTAATCTTGACTGTAAACTAGCATGCTTCATATAACACATTGTTGTTTGAGAATGAGCTAATGTGGTTATTATTGATCAGTTGAATGGAACTCGTCACTATACACCAACTTTCCTGACTATGGACAGGAGTTTGACAAAACAGACAGGAAACCTGCACCGACATTATGATGTACCTTTAAAGAATTTATCTCAAAAAAACTCTAGTTAACAGAAAGTCTATCCATCAGTTATTATGCACACACCGCTTCCATTTCAACCAGGATATATGAATAATTGCCAGTGAGTGGAACGTTGATTTCAACCGATCTAACTAAACTCCCGTATCAGAGCCAAAAGATATTAGTATTTCCATCTTTAGTAATAAGGGTAAAGGTCTATCAACCTATATTAATCCTTGCAGTTTGTAATACCATGGAGGCTCAATCTCGTTCGGAATATATTAACAGAAGGTGTTGATATTACATGTTCCGGTAGCGAATTCCAATAATTCATTACTCGATGCGAGAAACGAAACCCCAGACGTAGACGATTTGATCCCGATTTTTGGACTTTCTTCGGATGTACTCGCAAATGATCAGTCCTAGGCGGAAGTAAGAGATAAGACAAAATAATAATGATCATATGGTATTCATCCTAGGATTATGAAAGCCATATCAGATGTAATTGCTGAAACATTAGCGATACCGTCTGACATGTCTCTATGGCAGTCCAGACCACCCAGAGGCTGGAAAGACGCTATAATAATTTCGGTGTATAAAGTTGGGAGTAGGGATTTAGTTAGCAACTATAGGCCTGTTAGCTTAACTAATGCAGTTGTAAAACTGATGGAAAAAATCATTCGGATATCTATCATAAACTATGTTGAAGGGCATAATCTTTTCTCCAGGGAATAACGTGGTTTTCGAAGAGGCCTATCATACTTGACAAATCTTCTCATCGTAAGAGAAGATTGGGCTGCTGCAAAAGATCGGAATATTCCTGTGGATGTGATCTACATAGATCTAAGTAAGGCCTTCGATAAGGTCTCCCACTCTGGTCTAAAATTCAGACTGGTGATACCACTAATACATATGAACTGTCATTCAGAAAAGCTCTTTTCACGCAGAATGCTGATTTTTTCATGACCTCCTGATCGACCAAACTAGCAGTAATTGTAGTACATGAGTACATTCAGAAAAGACGCACTTTAAAGGCAACGCTCATGGTCAGGACAACTAGACAGAAGTGTTAACGGAAAACGATAAACGGATGCAATAAATTGGATGCCGTTACTTATTTTATTTGCTTGCAGACATATTGAAGTCAAGAATCTTATCCTTGAGGCTGAACATTTTGTTTGAAATAACTTCTGTATCGTAGCAACGACAGCAGCTATTCAACATTGTTGTAAGTTCAGCACTTTAAATTAACATTATTGCAGCGAAACTTTACAACGTTTACAGGACGTCAATGATAGGAAGCTAATATTCTTCATGAAATAAGTATACAGCTTTGTATTTGTTTACTGTACGTACTGGAATAATTTTATCAGTATCTTTAAATTTATTAAATACGCCATGGAAAAGATTAAACATATGTCTCGCACCTTTAAATAGGTCTTACGTCTACAGTTTGTTTGAGATCATTAAATCGACCTTATTCAGTCTTTATACTCAGCCAACCCAATCTCTCAATTTCGGGGAATATTTGACTCATTTCACATTTGTGTAGGGAATGGCACCAAAACCTCAATATTTCCCCAAACCTTCTCCTAAACCTTGGTGAAGGTCGTTCGGCCTTCGTGATTTCCCCAAAATTTCTCCAAACTTTGGAAATTGGGAAGTAGATACCAAGTGAACTGTTTATCAAAAATATGTTCGAAAGGTGTTGTCGTAGTAATGAAATAATTAAATACCAAATATTTATATTAAGTAAGAAACATATTGAAAATAGTATACAAAGCTAATATCGGGTAGTTCGAACATTACGGTCGCAGAAATGGAGATCTAACTGCCCTGTAAATTGTTCTTTCGCTTGTCAAAAGTTATAAGACAAAAAAACAAAAATTATGATTCATAGTTTCACAAATAAATACATATTCAGAAAAGATTTTGAGTTTATATACTTGTTTTCTACTGGCTTTCCAAAGCTTCAGATTATCCATTTATCTAACCAACCGATCGGACTTTAATGAATTCAAAAAAAAGATAAACAGCTTCTCTTTAGGACTCCGTCTAAGATGTCGACGTAAGATTTTAAATATAGCAAAGTAAAGTTTCAAGCCAAGCGTCTTCTCACAGGGACTGACGGAACGGATTAAAAGTACAAAACAAAGGTCTAACCAAATGAGTCTGTATGTCAAAGTTGAGCCATCCTTTTTTGCATAGGATGACCGAGTAGTTTAACTGACCCTTATTGCTGCATATATTAGCAGGTTGGGTTTTCTCATCTTTAATATTCACCTAGCCTGACCAATTGCTCACGTTCAATATAATTTGGGCTTTGTAAATCAATTAAACTATACTATACTTCCGAATCCGTTTTTTCATAAACTTTGATTTCATTAAAGCAATTCAAACTTTGTTCCAAACTGATTTTTAGTCGTAGAATTTGGTGTTAGGTTTTTCTAGGTAAACTGTCAAACTGTCAGATTTTAAATGGCAACTGTAACAAAACCGGATACGAAAAGAACGTATCCTAGTTGGTTTGAAAATCTCCACACTGAAAGAAAGGCGGCTGAAGGTAATCGGGATATATCATATGATCATCGTCAATTGGTTAGAGCTACACGCATCGAAACAGATATAAATACAAAGTACGTTAAAATTAATGCGTTTGATCTAGTAATAAAGTTTAAAACACATAGAACATAACATTAGAGTGTCATTAGTAAATCTGTTTATATTCTTTCCATAATGTGCTTTTTAGTTATTTCGTTACACTTATATGATCATATTTCTGCGACCTAGAGGTAAATTATTTATCGTCTGACATTTATTCCTCATCCCACATTGACAAATTAAGTTTGAAAAAGTGCTTGTTATTATCGTTTTCTCTCGAATTTTACATCCTATTATTGTTTAGTTATAATGAGAAGTTAATTTAAAGGTTTTTTTACTTAGCTTATACCATTCACTTCAGTAAAATCCGCAGTAGATTGAGTGTTTTTTTAACCAATAGATTATAAACAATGAGAACTTGAGGAAGGATAAACATGAATCTGTATTATCGCACTTTACACCAACACAATGATATGAAACTATCAATTAATCCAGAATAATCATGGCATTAGAGTAATAAGATTAAAATGCACATAAGTAAGCTTGAAAAAATAACACCCTAGCATGAAAAGTATGAAGAATTTTAAAACTCGAGGTATAGAGGAAAATAATGAACAAACTATAGTACGTTATCACTATGGACGTTTCGTGAATATGAGCTACAGTTATTGTGCTAGAAGTCTGAAACCAATGAAACAGTTCAGACGAAGTCTCAATATGGCTATCGTTAACAACATTTCAGCTTACTCGTATGCCAATCATTGCGACATATAGATGTGAGAGGTGGGCGGTCATGATTCAGAGATTCAAAGTTCATGTTATTGAATGAAGTATCACAGCCTCAACTTCTTTATTAAATTTAACCGATACCATAAGCCTTAACCCAATAATACTTACTCAGTGTTTATATTTGATGGAGTCATTGCTTAAAACAACATTTGTAATCGAATACTAACAACGTAAATTGACTTTTACCTCAATGGCCTGCATCTGACAGTCATAATGCAGTGAGAATATTACCGACGATGGTGAATAGTTTTTTTAAATTACAGTTTTTGTAAACGAAAACGAACTACTGAAGTTTTAGTGTAAAGCTGTAAATAACAGAGAAAAACAAATGTTATTGATATTATTAAATGACGGTTATGCAGTATTGTGAATTAGGCGGAGTTTTGTTCTTTAAGCTGAATCATTTGATTGTGAAGCTTTCACTGTTTTTCTTAACATTTCATTTCTACCTGAAGTTTGTGCTGATGATGTTAACCAAAAGAGTAATGAAATATTCACGATAAAAACATCCAGTGCAAAGAACAAAACTCCAAACCATCAACTTGAGCAATAAATACTCCTCACCATCTCAAAATATTGTCGATTGACTAAATTTAAAAATGCTAGTCATATAATTCCTATCCAACCATTAAAAAGTGCCACGATTGTTGTCAGTCATGAACGTCTTAAAGGTACATGAAGGAGTTTTGAATGAATATAAAATAAATGTTCTTCGTTTTCTGGTCTATAATAGTACTTGAGTTGATATTGCTCATTGCTGAAAAATAATCACAAATTGGACATTGTTTATGATTTTTCATACTCATCATTGTTAATTTCAGTAAATATTTGTTTTAAGGTGTCGTACACTATATTAGTGATCATTCGTAGTTTTTTAAAAAAAGGAGATTATTGTGAAACAACATTGAATGGTTAGGTGTAAATTATTAAGGTGTGCAGAAATTTCGGCTAAGTAGTCATATATCCTATTAGAGTTCAACTAAATGGATTCATTAAGAGACTCATGTTCATGATTTTTATTTAGCATCCATTGGTTTACAGTTGCAAATTGAATGAATTTAGCAGTTTAGAAATATAAAGATTGAGCGCTCACCGAGAGACCCTATGGTCATGATTTCGATTATGTACACGAAATGTTGTAGAATATCATAACATGGCGAAAGACTGAGCCAATGCCTCTCGGTGTTCAATGGTTGTCTAAGATCAGTCTGTGATGCAAACTATGAAATTTAAAACTCTTGATCACCCATATTTATAGTAGCCACTACTGAATCATCAGTTGATAAAAATCTATTTTTATTCTCTTGTCATATCATATTTGTTTTATTTTAATAGATATGATCAACTCCAAAGAAATAATCAATTATCTGATCGTATATGGATTGTACGTCAATGGCGTGACAAATTAATTACTCAATTAAATAAACTCAAGCAAAAAGACACTCATTTAAAAGCTGGTAAACATAAAACACAAGAATTTATGATTAAATTAAATGATTCATTTGATGTCAACATTGAATCTCTAACACATTTGGATCGTAGACAAAATGATGAGAATATTATTGATCCTGTTTTTAAGGAATTAAACATGGTAACCTTTGTTGTGTAAATAGCCATAAATTTTATTATATAAAATATTGTAGTCATTAATTTACTCAAGCTTTTAGTTTGCTGACAAAACTAGTTCTGAAATCTAGGAAGTGAATAGGTTCGGATAACAGGATTATTAGCCAACTGAATAAACTTATCATTAAGGGATTAAGACTAACACCCATACTGGAAAGATAATCTTTGACTGGTGTATCAAGTTGCGTAGATTCAAATCTCACAAAGAGGATTAGTTGTCACGTGATTTTGAACACTTTGTAATGACAAATATTTAGTAACACAAAATGTAGGCCGATGTATTTTTGAATACACCCTTCAACCATCGAGCAACAAACAAACTGTACTTTAATATCAAGTTACTTAAAATAATAAGCAAGTAATATAGGAGATATCAGGTGTAATTCATTATAGTGACAGTTATTCGATTGATTTATAAAATCTGCAGTTTAGTCAAGGGTTAATTACATACTGAGCAATTGTCATTATTCCAAAATTAGTTATTTACAAAATATGGATACTGTAGTGATTAATAGTAAAGATACAGGCTGGCATAGCAATGTTTCAACATATACATAGTGTGAAATATACTGAAAAAAGTGCTAAAAGACAATATTTATAGGGAACATGAAGAAAGTTAATTATCAGATTATATTAATTAGTCAGAGATTTGTAATTAATTTCATGACTTCTAATTCTTAGTACCATTCGAATTATAATAATCTAATGGCAATATAACCACTAGTATAAATCATTCAATATCTTAGGCTCCTTTGCCTCTCGGTAGTTGGAGGCAATCGTCAGAATATATATATATATATATATATATATATATATATATATATATATAATTTTTTATCTTAAATGGTGTATGAGTACAGAAACGTGGTAAACCAATTGCCTCCTAGACTATCAGCTCTCCACTCAACGTTAAGATTTTGGGTCCGAATAGGTTTATGGAAGACACTAATGATGAGTTTTAATGTGAGTTTAGGGAATTATTCAATGCTCCCTATTTCCTAATGGTTTTCTGGTTGATGTAGTTCTATAAATAAAATTACCTGCAAACTGAACTGTTCTTCACAAGTTATCAAACTGAAAAGTAGGACGTTGAAGGATCTCCTATGTTTGTGTATGGCAGCATATATAGAGTTTCAGAACTAATGTAAAATTTAATCAAATAATAATTATTCATTTAGAACCAGTTCTTGATATCAATGTATCGAATAGAGAAAATAACAAAAGACAAAATTAACAATCAAGGAAAACGTTTCACTTTTTTTCTTGTAAGAAATTGAAATAATGAACTCAGGTGTACATGTTTTACTACTCATTAGACCAGAAATGAAAACAGAGCTGTCATATCCAATTCTTGCATGTCACATAACAATGTGAGCAATATAACATGACAGTATTAAATATCTCTGGTCATTCATGTAACATTTAGGCACTACATTTAAAAAAGTACAAGTATATATAAACGCTTGTCGACACAAAATACTCAATGTCCGTCGGTTGGATAACATCAGCAACAGCCCACTATGGGAGAGAACAAATCAGCTTTCTGACGAAGAGGAAATTAGAAAAAAACCCTCGAGGTGGATAGAACATACATCATGAAAATCATCAAACTGCATCATGAAGCAGGCCCATACTTGTAATCCTGAAGGAAACAGGAAAAAAGGAAGACCATAGAACACATTACGTCGGGGATTGGAAGCTGGCATCAAAAGGATGAATAGTAATTTGAAAGAACTGGAAAGGATTGTATAGGACAGAGTTGGATGGAGAATTTCTGTGGGTGGCCTACGCTTCTCCACAAGGTGTAACAGACATAAGATAATAAGTACGTAAAAGCATAGAGTAGTTAGTGACTTGGTCACGTTTCACAAAAGTAGAACTGTACAGTGCGAACTGTTGTACACTCTACTTGATCATTAATTAAAATTCATATAATTAATTGATAACATTTTAGTATTGAATAACTGAACGATTAAATAGGGAAAATTTCTTTGAAAATTTTCTTCACTGTATTCGACTAGCAAAATATTCATTTTTAATTCTATCAGGAACGTGATCTATTGAAAGAAATACAAACAGATCTTCAACGACAAATCGACGAAGCAATTCATTTATTAGTTGAAATGAATAATGTAGCAAAACCATTTTATTCAGATATTTTTAATAAAAATGAAGCTGTACATATCGATATTGATGTTTATAATTTGAATGAAAAGTCATCTTGTATTAGTCAAAAACCGTTCTGTGAACGTTTACCAGAAAGGTGAGTGAATAACCATCACTGATTGGAAACAGGATATTTATTCATCGAAACGTTTAATGAGTTGATACACTTTGATCCTCTGTCTATGTTGTCACGTCCATATCTTTAATAGTGTATTAATATAATCTCACCGACTGCCAACTTACGTCACCTATAGAGATGGTGAGATATTCATCTATCAATTAAAGGACAAGTATACTGAGCAGCAGTTCGCTCTGTTCTATTTTACGGCTGAGAAACGTAGACATTAGGAGTAGAAGATATGCGTAAGTTAGTAGTATTTGATCACAGATGTCTTAGAAATATGGCTTGCAATTGCTGGGATCACTGGGTAAGTAATAGTGTTTATATCTAACAGTTTTGTACTTTTATAGTCCTGAATGTTGGCATTCTTTAGACCAATTAACTGTAATTATACTGTGGTGTATGCTACTGATGTCGACAGATATAAGTAGTATGTATCATCAATCGAAAGTGAAATGTCTGGTGGCAGAAAGTTAAGAAGATCGAGGGAGAGAGAACGAGAACAAAGAATGACTGGTGTAGAAACGAAGGAACAATCAAGTCTGGGACGATTGATTGGTATTTTGCAAATGAAGTATTTACTGTATGGTTCTCAGATTTTACAAAGAGATTCTGTAATTTTGTATTCCAATACATTTGGTTGTCCCCCACCGGTGTTCTCGTTCAATACAAAACGTTCCGTTATTCGAAAATAACACTCAGTAATGGTTTACAGTTCTATAATAAAAGATATCTTAGTTGTGTAATTACGGAGGTTGAAGAACTGTTGTGCATTATATTCTTAGATTTACCATATGCAGTCATGTAAGATATAATAAAGAATTGGAAATCCCCTGTAACCAATAATTTTCTCTTCAGCGGAACTAATTAAAAGGTTCTGAAAAGAGGATTTTTGTTGTGTATTGACGCCTTAAAAAGTACAGCAACTGAAGTAAACAAACGTAATAGAGGATTGATTCTGTAAATTTATTCAACCAAAATGAAAATCCGAGGTAGAGAGGGATGGTGGCAATGAATAATGATTAAAGACTAATAGTATATATAGGTAGTCATAAAGACCAACGAAGTGAACCCGTGTATTGTGACTCTAGTTATATAAGTAATCCGATTGCACATTGTAACTTAAATAGGGTTTCCTTTGATTTCACATACAACCTGCATATATTGTGTGACATGTCATGTTCATGAGTCGAGTGAGGATATGAGTAACAATTAAAATAAAATAGAATAAGAGAATAGTGGTTCACATGTAAACTGGAATATATCCAACCAAAGATCATCTGGTATTCCATTGATTCTGTGAAGCAAAAGTAGTACAGCGTTTTGGGTAATTATTAATTTCAAAAGTGTAGAACTGAATGCATATATCAAGAAGCCCAACAATTGGTTCTGCAACTTCAGGATACAAAAGATATTGTTTCTATAACTAATGATTTCCCTACCATTTTCTTGAGTATAGAAATATATAATCACAGTCGACAACGGTTATGCGAAAGATATACCTCTGTGGTGGGATAACGCCAATGCTTCCTTTCTGCCAATGTTCAAATGGTTTCTATGAGGATCAATAGCATCTTTTTTATATCTATTAATGTTTGTTTATTTATCTGAGCACAAGAATATAGGAACAAAGGGGCATGTGCGCGACAGATATTTCATTTTCGTTTTTTAAGATCTGTGATATTGCTCAGGTGCCCAAACCGAAGCAGGTGGTTTTCTTAGAGGGCCACAAATGGAGCCTTTGACCTAAAGGTCTGTTCCACAAGGCAGTGGAGCGACGTAAGGCGATGCAGTCACACGGTATCCGGTGGCCAACAATAGGTTAATACGCTTATTGTTTCCGCAGGATACTGGAGCCCATGTGCACAATTAATTTGGAATCAGGGCTTTCCAACTCCCCTAGGTATATGCTCTATATTCATCAATATAGTAAAAGCACCTGACATTCGCTCTTCGTCCTCTCAATTTCGCAAACAACAGTAATACCGCGAGAAGTCAGTGAATATGACTTCCCTGACAGTAGCTGGATACGCATGGCTATGTGAGCATTTGGAGAGGGAAAGCTGAATCTCCACCCTCGGCCGTACTAGTGCCTGATCCTGTCATGTTTTTGCAGGATAATATCAAAATTCATTTAGTTTTTACTACTTCCTTCCAATTTTTTCTAAACTAAATTTGATTATTTGAGAACAATAATCAACATGTTTTGTGGAATTCACGTTTGTTACTTGGAGATTTTACAATCAAATGTCTTATTTACAGTAATCCTACACAACTGCCCATCGTCCCTATCTCACATTTTTGTTCAGTTCAATACAAAAAAATAAATGAGAGTCCGTTCAATGGGAACCATAACATCTACAAAGAATATACGATGCCTTACTATTAGGTCTAACAGCCAGGTCCTAATTGATTGGAGAATCAGTGATGTATATGTTAATTTCTCCCAGTCTGCATAGACATCGCAGGACTAATCAATGGCATTACATCTTTTGTTCAGTTGGTGCATTCTCGAAATGACTAGAGATTCTGCCAGTGATCCCATTGATAAGCGACTGGAACGCTACCAGATACAACGTACTCAAGAACACATTATCCTCATCCCTGACAACATTCGAAACGATAGAGCTTGCAATTCGGACGTTATTTACATTCATAATTTGGAGAAAAAGTGATCAGTTGAGAAGTATTTACCTGTTAGATCGATTTCCAGAAATAAATAACCATTTATTATTATTTTAAAGCTAATTAGTTAATTGCACGAAACAAGATGACAAAATTTTTATTTAAAAATGGTACAAAAATCACCGTGCGTAAATGAAATTCCAACAGCAACAACCAAAAACTCCAGATACTGCCAGATATTTTCTGTCAACTGATGAACAGATATTACAGTGTCAAATAATAGATTACAATTTACTTCCAACCTTTCTTAACAGTTTTACTGTCAACAACCCATCATATAAATTCGTTCACTACCGTAGCATCCTCATTCGAATGGAAAACCAAAGCGATTTGATGAAACTTAAAATTAATGAGAGGAGGAACGCTCCTTGATGTTCCACAATTTGTCGTTAGTGCACAGAACTACACCAAGTGATTCACCACCAAATCAGAAATCGCCAGCTAAAATATTCATGAGCTTCAGATTGAGAGCAACTCACTCACCTGGTGTTACCAAAAACGATTGTTTGCAAAAAAAGGAATGGTACAAGTGAAAACCATGGGATTTGAAAATGGAGCTCGTGTATTCATCCGATATTAAAGACCGAGGTACAACACATGAATAAAGAGGTGTGTAACTCGGAGGTTGGGTCAGGTAATGTATGGTGTAGCGGTTGGAAAGACAAATGGATACAACGTTCCAGTCAACTACGAAGATATGTATCATAGGAGAGTACAACGACAATTTGACTCTGAGAACACTACTAGACACTTCCAGTCTACCGCAACCCCCGTTTGACACATTAGAAAGAAAGAAATGACACCTCCAGAACAAGTAGACCTATGACTCAAATGGTCGACCAGAAAACGGTGGAAGATAATTCAGTTTCAAGTGAACTCAAGAGAATCACGCTATTAAAATGAGAGATCATGGAGATGTCCGATTGCAAATTACAAATAATTAGATGTGGGTCAATATCTATTAGATTCGAATTCTGTTGCAGCTGATTATTTAGTGCGAACACTATTAGTGAAAATTACATACGTTTTTACGACGATCTATATGAATGACTACACTTTAAATATAATTATTTTCTACTCATAATTAATCAATAAACTTCATAAAGCTCGTTTGCGTTTTGCCAATCTACGTCACCGATGGCGTAGGCAAGAGATCCAACTACCCATTAAGGGGCGAGTATACTGCACAGCAGTTCGCTCTGTTCTATTTTACGGCTGAGAAACGTAGACATTAGGAGTAGAAGATATGCGTAAGTTAGTAGTATTTGATCACAGATGTCTTAGAAATATGGCTTGCAATTGCTGGGATCACTGGGTAAGTAATAGTGAGGTTAGACGCAGAGTATTGGGGAACGGTGGTGAATCAGTAGATGAGGTTATAAATCTTCGTCGACTGAGATGGTTAGTCCGTGTTACGTATGCCTGAACACCGATTACCACGACGCGCAATGCTGACTAGTGTAGGGAATGGTTGGAAGAAAGTTAGGGGCGACCAAGCCAAAACGTCGTATGAGTGCTTGAGTCACTAACTTCTATTATTAGCCATGTTGGTAGATGCAAACTACTTGGTTGGGGTCCGCGTGACTATCGTAACCAATGGTTGGAGACTCTGAATGACATGTCTTAGAATCGATCACAATGGCGTCGATGTATGCACTCTTTATCTTCCCTTGAACTGTGGAATTAAAATTGCTTTATACTTTTTTCCATGAACTAATTCTTTCTTCCTGTACTATATCTTTATAAACAGTCTTTCTTATATATGGTACTACCATTGAAGTAACTACTTCTATGAATTTGGTGTTCATCCTGTTGTGCTGATGAGGTATGGCAACTCGGACCGATGAATATATGTGCGTGGGCCTATGTTGTAACTGATTGACTGACTAAATCAATAAACTTAATATAATTTAGTTGGTTTTCAACTGATCAGCTTTAAAAAGTTTCAACCGCAAAACTGGTGTTTTTATTCTAGTTAATGGGGTAAGTTAGAGTGATGAATTATTAGCAAAGTGCATGAACGCACCAGCAAAACGTGGTACAGATGGTGTAAAGCAACATTGATATAGAATAAATAATTATCATTAAAAACGATCATCTGATGGAGAGGATGTTGAGATCGACTATATAAATCAATCAGTCAAAGTTAAAATAGAATCTGGTACACGTGTGTATTGGTTGAAGTTGCTAAACAATATCTGCATAGCGAGATGAATCTATCAAAATAGATCCAGATTAGTAGAAGTATTAACAATGCCAGTATTAGTAGTGATAGAAAATATGGGGTATGGAAGATGAAATTTGGAAAGACATAATGAACTTGTGAAATAAAAAAGCATAAGTCTTAACACTTTAAATCCAAGAGAGGACAAAGAGTGTAAGCATATGACACACTTCGATTGATTCCGAGCCACGTCACTTAAATTCTCCAACAATTGATTGTAGTAATCGCATGGACCTCAACCAAATAGTCTGTACCCAACTACAAAGCTGGTTCAACAGTCAATAATTTCGTGGACTGAGGCTACGTCTTGGTTTGGTTGCTTCCAGTTTTCCTCTAATCTACTATTCCACATCAGCCAACACAGTTAGTAAAGAAAGTGATGGTTAGTGTACATAATACATATCTCAACTACCCCAGTCAATAAGATTCACTATTTCACCAACCGATTTGTAATCTTGACATAATACCCTGCGCCTAAACCTCATTATTGCTCACTTGATAATTTTAACATATGCAAGCAATACTTTGAAGTTATCTATAGTCAAATAATGGTAACCTGCGAATATTCCGTACATTTAAAGACTATGTTTAAAAACCTTAAAGTAGAGCAGAACGAGTTGGTTTTTTAGTGTACTCGACCCTATGCTATCAGGAGGACATCTCATCTACGCCCCAAGATCTGTTACAACCTTAAATCAATTAGTTATTAGAAATCGATTGAAACTGACTGCGAAAAAAAGAACACATAATCATTTTATTTTGTAGACTATCTTTCTGACAAACAGTCACCAAGTTTAACTGTTAATACATAATTATTACACGTGTTACTATCTACAAAAGCGTGAAAACAAACTAATAAGTAGAGTTATTTTGCCATTTATGTTTGAATAAACCACATATAACAACCTTTTAATAATTAACCGAAATAACTGAGCATTCAAATATACTTTGATGTACAGTAATAAGTATGAATAAAAAAACAAAGCTAGATAATAATGAGCTTCAGTTTTACAATGGTACACTATTTGTATGCACAAAAAGTGGAAAAAAACATAATTCTAGCATTTATTCAACACAAATACTTAAACTGAGAAATGGTTTATGAATTGAAGTTACGTAGCTGAAAGCATTAAATTAAGTAGTCTGATACTAAGACGTTAGTTAGTCAAAATTTTGGAGTAGATAATAATAATACTAATTTAAAGTAAATAAAAATTATATTTACATTGAGCATTGAACCAAAGTCTACTAACAAAACTATACAAATTATATAAAACAGAAATGAAATTTAATGGTAGTTAATTTTTTCATGTGTCATTTTTGTTGTCAAATATCATGAATTGAGCTTTTAAACGAGAATTTAATTGTTCCCAATTCTGTGTTAATAACCATTGAGTGTGATTTATAGAGGACGATATGGTTTGATTTAATAAACCATTGGAACTACTGGATGGACACAATTTGCGTGATTGACTATTGAACCCAGTAGGATCGATATCGTAACTAGTGCAAGTAACACTATTACTTTTATTAAACGGATTCGAACGTCTAGAAAATATTGAGGACTTAACAGCTGAAACAGTTGAATTATTATTACTATTTCCAATTAATGTAGATGGTGACGATTTCTGATCTGTATTTGTTTGTTTTACCGTAGTCAGTGCTTTGTAGTGATCCTCTAAATCTTCAAGAGTTAAAGTAATAAATTCAATACTACATCTACTGATAGCACGCATCCAATCCTTGAAAAAGTATAAAGTGTACAAAATAAAGAAAAACATATTGAAATAAAGCAAACGTAAGTAAATCAACACAGAGAAATTGAGATAATGACTTGTTTGCACACAACTACCGAATGTGAACTAACATTAGTGAGCTTATTTTGAAGAATATGTCATGAATAACGATTTCCTAGTTTCATTAGTTGAATTCATATATTCTAATGCTTTAAATTCACTGTGGATACAGAAACTGTAAACCTTACAATCACCTCACACTTAACTTCCCACGTTATAAACAGAGGTAGATAGTGTCTAGCAGTGGAATCCGAAACTCGCGTTTAGTCGTAGTTGGGGCTCATTACCTGAATTTACCTACATTCCAGAGTTGACATTCACTCAGGGGCTCAAATCCAGTACTGATCGCTTCAAACATAATCGCGTCTTTCACTTAGCTATTAAGTACAGACAGTCAATGGCTTATGAAAGGGGGTGAAGTCTAATTCATTTGTATTAGTTGTTTTAAACCTTTCCAATGATATTGAGTACTGGAATGGATCAGTCTCTTAGATAAAATCATATTCAGCTGACAAATCCCACATAAAATGAAACGCGCATTCTATATTTCACTACTAGCTGCCATCCATCTCTGCTTATATTGCTAGTGACTTAATGGCAATATATGGACAATCCGCACAGGATGCACATATGCTGAAAGTGACTGGACAATTGCAACCCTAAATATCAACGGGAAGATTCAGACGACCAATACAAATGAATTAAACTCACATGTTAATTACCTAGTTTTCGTTCTAATTTCCAAGCTTCTTAAGTAACCATATAAACAGGCGTGTTATCTAATAGTATTAGCCTTTCGTGCAGAAAATAAAAGCTTTTGTAAATGGTCGGTGTTCATTATCTTGTTTAGTATAACCGAATTTATGAAGCTAAAACGTTATTAGATCTTAACCATTACTCAATAATTAGCGACAGAATATGTGCTCTAGTTTTCAGCATTAATCAAGCAATAGAATGTAAAAATGGAGTCAATTTGCACGAAAACGGAGTTGATAGGTAACCGATATAGAGCTACGTGTTATTTAAAAGTAAATTCTACCTAGAGGAAATTCAAACATTTTATACTACTTGAATGTGTTGGTGAACATATTTACTGGACCAAGTTAGATCGATATTGTAGACTCGTTTACCATTACTAGTTGATGCGTATAGTTTCATGTTTGTTGACTATATACTTAAGTAGCATCATATTTGATTGCTCTACTGTGAAGATGAATTATTCCAATAACCTCAAGTAAATACACCCGACAAATATTCTCTTTGGTGAAGTATTTCACTAAATTCGGTGAATAATGACATCAATGAACTTCCAAAGTTCGCATATTTTACAACACACTGATTAAACCACTCATTTGAGGTGAAATTTTATAAACGTTGAAGGAATGAAGAATTAAGTACATTTTGAAAACTTTGTTAACTTAATCGAAATTTGAGGTATTTTGAACAAAGGTTGAAATATACGCTAGTGAATAACTGGGAAATAACCAATATAAAGGTGTTTAATGCTAGTTGCTGATCAGGTTATATTTACAGACTTTGTAACAAACATATTAGAATGTGACTCAACATCGTAATGCACATTGTGTTGATGTTAAATGGTTGGAGGTAAATGACAAACTTAACGGACCGATTGAGTTCGATTGATATTAAGAATTGGACAAAAAGGAATACTCATTAAGTTTGAAAATATTTTAGTCTTACGAAAAATTAGTAGTGACTTAAACAGTTAAAAATTTAACGTCAAGGAGAGCGGAGGAATATATGATATGATATGTCGTTTTCTAATAACGGAGTCCAGACACATTATCTTGAAAAATGGATAAAATGTTGAAGCTGTGGTTGGAGACTCTTGGTGACATGGCTCAGAATCGATCACAATGGCGTCCGTGGATACACTCTTTGTCTTCCCTTAAACTAAGAGATTAAAATCGCTTCATATCTTTCTTTCTACGAACTAATTCTTTCTTTCTGTACTATATCCTTATATGGAATCTTTCTTTTATATATTACCACCTCTGAATTAACTACTTTTATGAATCCGGTGTTCATCTTGTGTTAATAAGGCATGGCAACTTCGACCGATGAATATATGTACCTGGTCCTACGTTACAGCTGACTGACTGAAGTTGTGGTTAGAAAAAACAGTAGATAAAATATGTAATAAAAAAACAATTCTAATGATTGCAAGAGAAACTCGATAAGTAGAATAACCAGATGAAATACCAACAAGTGGCATATATTCTATTTTCAAGACAGGACAGAAATGAATATTTATCAGGACTTGCGTGTATCGGATATGTTATGAAGTGATAAGTTAATAACAAAGGCTGCATATTTAATGTTAATAAGATCTACTTTATTTCCTTTCTCCAGTTTGACCCAGAAAACACAAAGGTCATATAATGGAACCTGGTTAACGAAGGCATACAAAAAAATGGCTTCCTTCGAAAGAAACTCACTTCAATATCCTCAGCTGTTTCACCCTTTAAAATATAACTGCGAGATAATTCGCCGGGTCCTCTGAATCGTATTGCCATTTTCAAATCATCCAACATTTCAACAATATGACAATCCAAAAATATAATACCCAATGGTTCCTTATCCAATTTCTTATCAAAATACGCTAAAATATTACCACACAATATAAAGTAACGTTTTTTATAAGATATTTTCTGTTCTGAACGCTTTTTCCATAGAAAGCCCACTTTTTCCTCTTTTTCATAAGTCAGGAAATTTGTAACTGTTTTAGGGTTGAAAATAGGCATTGACAAATGAGATTAAATCATGGAGTGTTCAATTTGGTCAAAATTAACTCATGCAACATAACCTCTCACTGAAAACCCAACACTACTTTAAAGCACAAATGAAGTTTTGAGGACTGGTTGTTCATTTAGAACTTTACGCACCTGTAGAGAAATCGAAAAAAGATATATTTTTAGAAAAGGCTGGTATAAGGACACTGGAAAAATTACTGTATGAATAACTAGCTAATAGCGATGAGACATATTGAATTGTTTGCTTTAAAAACAAATATATTTTGATAATTAATGAAGGATACACGCAATACGTCATGGTCAAAACATGTTTCGAATGAGTTAGAGATACTACTCGAAGGTCTTGACCGAAGCGGAGTGGGCTATGTTCTTGTAACTCAAGGTTTGGTCACAACTTGAGTACTTCATAGATTGCCCCCAAATGCCCTGGTATGGTCGAAAGTGGGGTGGGCCCGCCCTCCCTCCCTCTCGAAATGATCTCACATGGTCACGGGTATACAGCCTCTGCCAGGGAAGTCCTACTAACTGCCTTCTCGTGGAGGGGGTGTTGTTTACGAAATTGAGAGGACGAAAAGCGAATGTCCGGCGCATTAACCAGATCTCAAACCAATGGTGCACATGGGCTCCAGTATCCTGAGGGAACAAATGGCGTACGAATCAATTGTTGGTCACCGGCTTCCATGGGACTGCATCTCCTTACGATGCTCCACTGCCTTGTGGATCAGACCTTTAGGTCGAAGGCTCGGGGTGTGGCCCCCTAAGAAAACCACCTGCTTCGGTCTGGGCAACCGAACAGTATCACAGCCCACACACACACAAATATGGTGTGGCGCATGTATATTTGGTGCCCTCTTGTACCAATATTTATGTGTTGAAATAAATAATAAATTATATCTGAAACCATGAAAATCGAGAGACGTTTGAAAATGATCACTAGGAATCCATCCAGATAGTTTCCTCGACTATATTCGTCCAAGTATCTTGACTTTCGACCAGAGAATGAAATTTACAAATCAGCATCAAAATGCAGCTGGATGGTTTCCGAACCCTCACACAGAGTGTGGTTCAACTTTGAGTATATAAAAGTGGATCTGATGGTCCGCTAATACATCAATTCTGTCATATAGATACACTAAGTAGCATAGTTTAGAACTGATAATAATAAGCCCTTTGATGCTAACATCCATAAAATGTACATGTTTTTGTACTGTTAAAAGTCACATCGTCTGTGTGGAGGCTGACGATGCTACCCAGCTGATAAAACTCAGATGAACCAAAGTTAAAATCCACAATCTGCCGAACCGCGCTCTATTTAAAAGGACAGTGGTAGTTTCTCGTTGAGCTAATTAACCGTTTTGATCGTAAATTACGCATCAAAACTACTGTTTACACTTTAATTGCATCTACCCCAGTTAAAGTGATATTGTATTAAGTGTTTCGATTTTGCTTTTGTGTATTTATTGCATCGAAGCATACTTGATCGAATTTTACTTGATTTATTCAGTTAAGGTTTGAGAATCCTTTTACATATCCTATTTGTGTCACGTTTGCAGTTGATTTTCAAGATGGCTAGATCTGCTCATAAATGTGGACAACCATATTGCTTATTTCCCGTGGAGGAAGGGATGCAATGTGATGAGTGTAATAAGTGGTTCCATAAGATGTGCACTTGATTAGACCCCACTGCATATAAAAGGTGCTCAAAGCCCAACTCTCATTGGCTTTGTAGTTTTTGTTGCTTGAGCAAAAAATTACTCATCCAGGAAGCAATTAGCCTCCTGATGTTGGCTAATAAGAAGGTTGATGAGGGCCGTACTGGTAACATTGGTACTGATGGCGAAGATTGCGTTAGTGTCGTAAGTGCTGTCAGACATCTACCTGTGCAACCCGTAGTTAAACGTTCTCCTTCGAAACGATCAGTGAGTGACACCTCATTAAACGTTGGTGGCCATATTGTTACAGATGCGACTAGTGGTCCAGATAAGACAATTATTGTCCCGATTTGTTCTAATGTAGATGTTTCGACTGATGGAAAATGGATTACGCGAAAACGCAGAAGAGTAGGAAAGACAGCTAAAACTAATGACTATTTACTTGATAAGTCCTTGGTGGACTCTCAAACCAATCCGCCAAAGTCCCAAAGTAAAGCTTCGTCTAACATTGTTGTCAGTCACTCGCTCGATTCCCAAGACTCTGTTACAATAAAAACTAATCGTAAGATACCAGTAGTTAATATACAGGATCTAACGTCACGGTCGAAAGCTGTTAACACAATTTTAAAGGAAGCTAAACCCCTTCCTAGTTAAATTGTTTAGAATCTAGAGGAGTCGAAAGACAACGACCCTGATAGAAGACATGCACATGACCTGCGGTTAGTGGAGTCTGTGGTAAGAAATGTACTACCTGGAGAGGTTTCAGGGGTATATATTACAAAAGTAATACGACTTGGTAAATGGGTTGGAGGCGAGACCCGACCAAGAAGAATGCTGAAGCTGATTCTCGGGAGTTTTGAAGAAAGAGACATATTATTGAAAAACGCACTAAAACTCGTTACTCAAATATCTGTATTCGACCATATTGGCCGCTTGAGGATCTAATCAAGTGGAAGAATGCTCTAACAGAATTGAGAACTCGCAAGTTAAATGGCGAAAATAACATTACCATTAAGGGTTTTCGGGTAGTCAGGTCTTGGAAGCCAATGCTTCCTAAACCTAACCCAAAACACGAACGCTCGTAGTCTTAGAAATAAAACGTCCGAGCTAAGTCTGATGGTGGAAGAGTTATGTCCTGATATAATCGTTGTTACAGAAACTTGGTTCACCGTAGAGAGAGACTGTTCTCCCACCATTGCAGGCTATATCTTTATTAGAAGTGATAGTTTCAAGTCGCAGAGGGGGGGTATAATATTATACGTTAGGGATCACTTTTGTATACAATCAACCATATCGGAGGCTCTTGGTGGAGTTTTGTTCTCTGAGCTGGATGGTTTGGTCGTGGAGCTTTCATCATTCTTCTGAACGACATCATCAGCACAAACTTCAAATAGACTGCTAATTAGCAGTCAAACGGCATGATATCTCTTCACCTATATCAATACACGTGGACAACTACGGACACTCATTCGATTGGAAAAATGTGGAAATCTTAGACAAAAGAAACTCCAAAAACACCAGAGAATTTTTAGAAGCCTGGTACTCAGGTCAATCAGCAATCAACAAGCATATTGAAATCAATCCAATTTATCAACCAATCAGAAAAATCATGCACAAACATAAGAACAAAAATCAAAACAATGGGAGACACAACCAAAACAAAGAAGTAAACAATGACAAATTTAAGGTCAATAAGAACCAATCAACATCGAGGTGCACAGAACAAGCTTTGAAACACATATGGAGAAATTCAAATACTTCACTTGTGTTTGAAGTTTGTGCTGATGATGTCGTTCAGAAGAAAGATGAAAGCCCCACGACTAAACAATCCAGCTCAGAGAACAAAACTCCACCAAAATCACCCACCTGAGCTACAAATCTTCTCCACCATCTTAATATCGGAGGCTCATATCAGTGGCACATGTGAGGTTGCATGTTGTAAGATTAAATCTAGAAATGGGTTAGTGACTATACGGGGAATATACCGTAGTCCGTTTTGTCCTGCTGACGACTTTATCCTAAGACACATCTGTTCTTGGAGTATGGCAGAATGTTGTCCCATCATTGCGGACTTCAACGTACCGCATATTAAATGGATAGAGCTTACAGCTCCAGGTAGTGGTTTCGATAGCGACTTTTTATCTACCGTTATTCAGTGTGCACTTGTACAATGTATCACAAAACCGACACATATTGATTTCAATTAAGATCTGTCACTGCTGGACCTCGTCCTCACTCACCACCGTGAGGATGTCTTCGATATTCAGCACCTTCCCTCACTAGTGAACAGTGATCACGTTGTAATTCAATTTAAGTTTAGGACACATGGTATACAATTGGTATCTGCTCCACCCCGTCCCAATATCTGGTGAGCCAATATTCCGGCAATCAGAAGATTAATGGAATAAGTTTAAGGCTACATTTGAGTTCGTAACGTCGCCGTTTATCCCATGGTCAGCACGTAAGCTATCACGTTGCCCTCCATGGATTAATAAGGAAACCCAGAAGCTGTTAAAGCGTAGGAAACATTTCTGCGACATATTCTTGTTGACAGGTCATGCACGATTTAAGCGTGAGTACCAAAAATTCCGGAATATTTGTAGGAAAACCATAGCCAAGTCCCGTACCACTTACGAACGACAGTTAGTACATGATAGCCGTATACTTGTTCGAAACGATTGTTTTCGTATGTTAAACGGCGAATGAAACGTAGTGATGGTATTCCCCCGCTACTGTTACACGAAAATTCAGATTTACTAGCTGAATCAGATCGAGCAAAAGCTGAGACTTTCAAATTATTTTAGCGAAGTCTGCTCTACGTTGACTGTTACAAATACTTGTCCCACTCACACCGAGATACCAGCCATCGAACCTGTACAGGTGACTGAGGAAACTATCCTTCCGTTGATAGCTAACCTCAAACCTGGTAAGACACCGGTCCCTGACGGGTTACATCCGCGGTTGCTGTCAACTCTTGCGAGCATTATTTCAATACCGCTCGCGACACTTTTCAACATGTCCCTTTCACTCGCTCAACTCCCTAGAGATTGGAAGGACGAGATAGTCAGTCCTATATTTAAGGATGGTCAGAGACAGATAGTATCTAACTACCGGCCTGTCAGTCTAACTAACATGGTCGTTAAGTTACTTGAAAAGATAATTCGGGTTAGGTTGCTAAGCCACATAGATTTACACAATCTGTTAGCTCCTCAGCAACACAGATTTCGTAACAAGCGTTCATGCTTGACTAACTTGTTTATTGCGAGAGAGGATTGGACAGCAGCCCTAGATAACGGTCTGTCTGTCGATGTGATATTCATAGATTTTAGCAAAGCGTTTGACAAGGTTTCACACGTAGGTCTTATGCAGAAGCTCACGAGCTTCGGAATAATAGGTACTGTACATGAGTGGATAGGAAACTTCTTATGTGACCGCAGACAGAGAGTGAAGGTCAACGGAACGCTATCAGATTGGAAGCCGGTCGAAAGTGGTGTATCCAAAGTACCATCTCAGGCCTTCTGCTCTTCCTTCTCTACGTTAATGAGTTACCGCTGTTGCTTAGGTCGTCGACATTATTGTTTGCGGATGATGTAAAAATCTGGGGAACAATAAAAAGTGCGGCTGATCATCTGGATCTTCAAGCTGACTTAGACGATTTAGTTAGATGGGCTCGAGAGTGGGGCTTAGAAATCAATGCTAGGACGAGTGTGCTAATGCACATCGGTCACGATAATAGTTACCGTTATACTATTGATGGTAAACCCCCAAATGTATTGGTACGACCGAGAGTGGGGAGAGTTCGCTCTACCTCTCGAAATGATCTCACATGGTCACGGGTATACAGCCTCTGCCAGGGAAGTCCTACTAACTGCCTTCTCGTGGAGGGGGTGTTGTTTACGAAATTGAGAGGACGAAAAGCGAATGTCCGGCGCATTAACCAGATCTCAAACCAATGGTGCACATGGGCTCCAGTATCCTGAGGGAACAAATGGCGTACGAATCAATTGTTGGTCACCGGCTTCCATGGGACTGCATCTCCTTACGATGCTCCACTGCCTTGTGGATCAGACCTTCAGGTCGAAGGCTCGGGGTGTGGCCCCCTAAGAAAACCACCTGTTTCGGTTTGGGCACCCGAGCAGTATCACAGCCCTCACACATATCGAATGAGATTTGTGTGGCGCATATGTATTTGGTGCCTCTTTGTACCGATATCTATGTGTTAAAATAATAAATAATAATAAACCTCTTCCATGTGCTCAAGAACATAAATACTTAGGAGTAGTAATAAGTCATGATTTAAAAACAACTACGCATTGCAAAGCAGCCGCTGTCAAAGGTTTTCGCACGTTATGGGCACTTCGCCGAGCGTTTAAATCTTTTGACGAGGAAGCGTTTCGAATTTTATATCCCATATATGTAAGACCACATCTAGAGTACTGTATTCAAGCAGATAGCCCGTGTTTGGTAAAGGATACTAACTCTCTTGAGCGTGTCCAGCATGTGGGAACGAAATTAGTGAAGGGTCTTTCAAGACTCCCTTACGATGAGCGTTAAAAACGCCCAAACCTTTTCCCCTTGTCGTATCGTAGGACACGAAGTGTCTTTATACTGGCATTTCGTATCTTTAATTATGATTCGTGTGTTAATGTCTTATCTTTTTGCTTTTTCCAGCACTAATAATCTCCGAGATCATAGCAAGAAGGTTCATAAACAACGATCTAATAAACTTAAAGTGGGGTCCCGTTCTTCTCATCGAGTAGTCAATGATTGGAACGCCTTACCCGAACAAGTAGTATCAGCCCCATCAGTGAATACTTTCAAGAAGAAGCTGGACCTTCGTTGGAAAGCAATATGTCAAGATGATTGCAGGTTCACCAACCTACTATCCTTATCACTGAAGACTGGAGTGAAGACGCTCTAATAATTAAGATATACTTATGGACCTATCGATTATTATTTTCACTTGTAATTTAAACGAACGACATATGATAAGAGGCTCATTTTTCTAAATCTCCATTTTGTTTCATGTAAGTAGTTTCATTGAACACTAGGATAAAGTGACCATAACTGTAAAATCACACACAGATATGTGGATTTATTTTATACGCATAATTTTATCGGTAGTTTATAATCTGTGGTTACTTTAACATGAAAATACTCAGTTTCAACGGACTGAGAAATATGGATCGGTTGTAGGTAACGTCGATATGTTGCATGTTAAAGTTGTTCCAATTTAATAAATAACCAGTCATTAGTAAACCTTTGATTGCAGAATGGTTAGATAAGTCCCCAGAACAAGTGTCCCTAGAATGTTGTATTAATTCTGGATTAATTTCATTCGTAATCCTACTCGTTATTAGAACATCCAAAGTGTTCAATTTAGTAGTGTGAAGCGTTAAGCACGTGATTCCAGTTAAGAAGGATAAATAGGGACCACCACAACATAAGTGAATATAGCGGTGCCTAAAGCTAATGAATTCACTCGAGAGAAAAAAAGCATTGGAAACATATTCCTTGAAAGTGTACACAACTCCACATTCCATCATTACTTACGTAAGCAGATCACGTCGTGGCAAATCTCACCATTACAAACCGAAGTGAATCAGAACTTAACGTTACAATCTCAACGCCCGAAATAAATTGTATTGGTGAATACTGCAACCTTCAAAAGAGAATATGAACTTGTGTAAAATTCTGAGGTTGACATAACTGTTTAAATATATCTGACAGGTAAACTACTGTACTCTGATTGTGTGAAACTAAGTAAAATGCTTGCTTTCTTAAGCGCATGAACAATTCATTTGAGAATATACAGAAACATACTATACCAAGAAACTTACGTCAAGGAAACACCCACAGCTCAGTTACGCACACACTGGAAAACAGCGCTTCAGACTACAATTTACAATATATCCTCTGCTCTTGATCATAAGCCTCAAAAACCGATTGATCTTTGCGCTCGGTTTTTGTTGCTTCGGTAGGGTTCTAATTCCTAAGTAATGTCCAATGACAGTCTCGCCACACGACATATGATTTATAAATATAAATGTCAAACGACCTGGTAATTCCCGAGAACTGTGGTAATGTCGAGAGTTGGTGTTACTAAGAATTTATCAATATAGGGCGCTGATCGCTCGATAAGGTAGATAAATTTACAGTGGATGTAATGTTTGTGGATGGAATGGAAGCTTTCACTTTACGGGCTTCTATGACTGCTGACGCCTTCAAGTGAAAGATCGGGGTATATTTAGAGGAAATTTGTAGTTAATCACTGTTCAAAGTCTTTGAGAATACGTCAAACTTCTTATCAAAGGACTCCTGGGACTTCACTCGGATCGCATCAGACGTCAGCGAATCTCAGAATTTGACTAGTAAACAGTAAAAGATGTGCATATAGTCTGTACTGCTATATTGTGCTTCCAACTTTTGGTGCTAACCCTGAGATTCCTGTTTAAACTGAGCCTGAGTAAGTACTTTAAAAAATGTCTATGAGTGCTATCACAAGGTTTAAACTTGAGTTCCCGACCCAATTTCACGGCTCACCTTTGTATACGTTCCGGTGTACTTTAGTCCTTTTGGGAACTGACACTATATATTCGTACTCTGAGTAAAGTCAAATAAAACCGTTGAACCTAGGTAAAACTTCGTACTACTAAACTGACAGAAAATGAGACCTGGCGTTACTAGTCCAAGGTTCATTTGAGAGGCACCTTTTTCACAGTTAGCGTAAGACTTAATATCGTAGGATACCAATACTCCTAGATCTTCTTTAACTTTAAACACATCTAGAGGGGAGTTGCCTACGATGTATGCATGGTGTGCAACACGTCTCAGATGAACTACTCTACACTGTGAAGTGTTGATTGCAACTACGTTATGATCTGCCAAACTTTGAAGTCGAATCAGATCCTTCTGAAGTACTAGCTTATAATTTTGCCTGGTAAATTCTCCTCGTAGTTTAAAATAACCAGCGAAAGGTAATAAATTGGATTACACTATCTGCGGAAGATCATCCGTTTCCACCAAAAAATGAGGGGGTCATGGTACGGAACCACAGGAAACCTCACTAGGACATTTATTAGTCCGATGAAAGGTAAAGGTATTATCTATTCATAAAGTTATTCGGTCCATAAATGGTCATTTAATACATAAAATTTTGTGCCGGATGTAAACGATTCAACATGTATACAAAATATCTATGACTTCCATGATTTAAATAGTGGGTATTCATGTTCGACGGTTACAGAGTTAGGAAAAACACATCAATATACTCCCTGTTAAACATGATCTCTCAAACACTGGCACTCGATGACCGCGTAGATTTTCTTCATCGGATTAAGTCATGTTCGGATTTTCCGAACAACGTAATTCACTGAGGGATATGGTTAATCTAAACCTCATATAATAACCAGATGAACGAACGGTTATATTTTCGAAAACCCTCTTATTTTTGTGTTGTCACAAAAAATTCGTGACAAAAGATTTTATACCTGTACTACCCAGTATAATGCGCACTGCTATTAAATGACCTTCTATTCTCGTGTTGCTAAACGCGTACAATGTCAAGTGATTGAGTCAACCTTTGTAAGGATTTTTGATTGATAATATGACCATTTTCATCCCACACTTCTGTACTTCTTCTTAAAGACTCACTTCTCTTCCAAAATAGTGAGGATGAGATGTCATTGGGGTTCTCGAGATACGAGGGGATGTGGTTTCGAGTAGAGGTGTGACAAGATCACAAGTGATCATTCCCACCTTATTTCAATCAAAGTGGGAAGATGAACAGACGCTAACTGGATTCCCATGATGATTTTTGGCAGTATTCAAGATTTCTGTTATCAACGACCCTGTATCGATTATCGACGAAGTTTCAGAGGCGGTGACTATGATGGAAGTCGGCCTGGCGCAGGCCTCCATCTCGAAATTGCATCGCCTGACTCTTTTTTACATTGAATATCTATCAGTTTTGTCTCCATTCCTTTCGTTAAACTGTGTCTTATCGGGATTCTTATGAATCAACCATTGGCTTATAGCCTTTAACAGTTTTATATTGTCCGGTCAGGTGAGAAAACTCCTCCTGTAGCTCTTCTGGGGTAACTGTCTGTCCAAAAACTGAGTAAAGGAGGAGGGTGGGGCATGACGTCAGCAACCTCATATCTTAGAATACAGTCTTGCTAAAACAACGCTAACCAGAATAAACAATTTGAACTTCGTCCTCCGAGTTGAAGGAGGAAATCTGACGTTGTTCGCTAATCACGATGCCGACGACCCATTCGGAAACTAGAGCAACAATTATTACAAATACATGGAATGTCCGGAGAATGTCGGATATTGGGAGGACAGGTCAAATGACTAAAGAAATGGGGAGATTAAACTTGATGGTTCTCGGAATAAGTGAAATCCGCTAGACCCGGAAAACATTGATTTTTGGGAAGCTTCCGTTGTTTCGCACATAAAAGCAGTTGCTGCCCAAGAAAAAAATGAAAGTGCCATCATCAAAGATGGGTAGCAGTCAAAAACGCATGCAGGATTCAAGAAAGGAAGAAAAAAGACAGCAATTATAAACAGTAGGACAAGAAGAGAGAAAGTCAGAGCACGGGCCGAATACACATAAGCAAACAAGAGAGTGAAGTGAAGCGTTATATCTGAAAAGCAGGAATACGTAGCAGATTCGATAATCACATTGGGAGACGTTTCAAGGAACGAATATATGAGAAAACTAAATGATACAATGAAGAATTTGACAGAGAATTATAATAAATCAGAGCAAATATTCATGAACTAAGAGAGTGAATCAACCACTGAGATTCATGAACAGAGGAAAGCATGGATAGAACACTTTGAGGAATTCTTGAATAGGCCAGCCCCATTGAATCTGTAGAATCATGGTTTACCCTGATATTAGTACTGCTCTAATAATAGAATTTATCCTAAAATTGTAGACTTGTCATGATATAACTAATCTATAAGATCTTACGTGGAAGTCACATCATCGTCTACACCAACTCACTGTATCATAACAATTACCAATACATGATGGAGAACAATCGTAGGCTAGAGAAAGAGCAGTATATTTAATATGAATAAAAGATATAGGGTAACGTTCCACAGGCACCATGATTGCATGGCCGAGCCATGCCATCCGATCAACTCCAATTAATTCAACCCAATGTTCCTGCTTTTTCCGTCGTTAGGTATTTATCCGAGTTAAATATTGAGCGTCTATTTTCCGAGCAGTCTCGTATTAAGCTTTGAGGATTGTGTGGTTGTGGTCCAATGCCACTACAAATCCACTGAACGTCGAAGTAGCACACAAAACACCTCCCTGTATAATGCGCCCCACGAACAGTCGAAGAAACCAAGGTGGCCTTCAGACAAACCAGGAGTTGGAAAACCGTAGGACCTGACAACACACCGTCTGAAGCATTGCAGTTAGGCAGAAGTAACTGCAGGCATTCTTCACACTGTATTCAGGAAGATTTGAGAGTAAAAACAGGTGTCGACAAACTGGAAAGAAAGACACCTCATCAACATACCAAAAAGAGATCCGAGCGAATGTGAAGACTACAGAGGCATCACGCTACAATCTATATCCGCAAACGTTTTCATCAAATTTTTCGCTGAACTTGATGAAAGACTTAGTAGATGCTCAACTACGATATTATTTGACAGGATTCCAAAAGGATCTGTTGTGTACTGACCAATCAAGACAGTACGAAACATTGTTGAACAAAGGAGAAAACATGGTGTTCACCACCAATAATAATGATCACGGAGAGATAACCTCATATCTGGAGGGCAGAACTTTTCGTTAACTCACGGTCTAGCGGGATGCAACTGACCAATTGTACTGATGTCAGTTTTCCGTGTCGAATACCTGGAATTGTTTTTACTTCTACTGCAAGTAAATCCAGACTGTTGCACTAATCTAAAGTCCGCTCACTTCTCCATAATTTTGTGGGTTTAAAACAATAATAGACATGAAAAGAGGCATTTTTGTACCTACACATTGTGTTCTTATTACGTATTTGAAATATGGATATTCTTACATTTTGAGCTGTTTTTAATCCCCTCCATTCACATGGTCTCTTACCCATTCGCCACCATACGTTTGTTCTATCTTCTTCAACAAAGCGAAATGCACATGCGTGAAAATGGACCTATTAAATGTAAACAAGACCAAGTATTCATGCCTTCACATCTCCATCACAAATCAGCCGACTTCGTCGATAATAACCATATCCTGTTTTACTTGATATTGCTTTACTTGAATCTTCCCATTGATGTTTTTTGGACTGAAATTGATCAGTCTCTTATTGGCATATGTGCATATTGTGCGTATGCCTCAATATTGCCTTAATTTACAAGCATTATAATCGAAGATGAATAGTGGCTAGCATTGGAATCTAGGACGCGCGTTTCGTCCTGTTTGGGACTCGTCAGTTGGATGTAACTTCATCTCAGAGTTGATGTTCACTCTGGCACTCGAAGTAAGTACCGTTCGCTTCAAACGCCATCGCGTTATCCACTTAGCTACTGAGTCCTGATAGCCACTGCTAGCCACTATTCATCTTCGCTTATAATGCCTGTAAATCAAGGCAATATCGAGGCATACACACAGTATGCACATATGCCAACAAGAGACTGATCGATTTCAGTCCTAAAAACATCAATGGGAAGATTCAAGTAAAACAACACCAAGTGAATTTAAACTTCATCCCATTGCACAAGCAAGGGGCTATCAGAACTCATTAGCTCAGTGGATAACACGATGGCATTTGAAGCGAACGGTACTGATTTCGAGTGCCATGGTGAACATCAACTCTGAGATGAAGTTACATCCAACTGACGAGTCCCAAACAGGACGAAACGCGCGTTTTGGATTCCACTGCTAGCCACTATCCATCTTTGCTCATATCTTGTTTTGTTCTCGCCTTTTGTTCTCTAATCTTTTTCTCAGCACGCTCCGATATACTAGCAAAAAAACATTTCCGGAACACATGACTTCATCCAGAGCTTTCATCAATACCTCCAGTGATTCAATTGTGCTCAATATGAGCCTGGTAAATGTACTGCCTGTGTACACTATCAAGAGGCATGGAGTAATACGGTAATGTCTTCGTTCTAAATTGACCGATTTCGCATTAAACGCGGTATTTCTTGTTAGAAAGAGCTTTGGACTTTACCTGCATTCATTTCGACCACCAGTTGCTTATTACAACAAAACGTCCATAAAGTGAGTCAGCTTCCACATTGAACTTACTCATTTCACCAACATTATTCATTTACTAATGTAAGAAAATTTGCCTAATTGTTTCTGTCACCATAGTGTCTTACAAAATATCAACCTAGCTTAATAACAAATTACCATATATCCCGTAACATTTATAAAAATTTAATCTTGACTGTAAACTAGCATGCTTCATATAACACATTGTTGTTTGAGAATGAGCTAATGTGGTTATTATTGATCAGTTGAATGGAACTCGTCACTATACACCAACTTTCCTGACTATGGACAGGAGTTTGACAAAACAGACAGGAAACCTGCACCGACATTATGATGTACCTTTAAAGAATTTATCTCAAAAAAACTCTAGTTAACAGAAAGTCTATCCATCAGTTATTATGCACACACCGCTTCCATTTCAACCAGGATATATGAATAATTGCCAGTGAGTGGAACGTTGATTTCAACCGATCTAACTAAACTCCCGTATCAGAGCCAAAAGATATTAGTATTTCCATCTTTAGTAATAAGGGTAAAGGTCTATCAACCTATATTAATCCTTGCAGTTTGTAATACCATGGAGGCTCAATCTCGTTCGGAATATATTAACAGAAGGTGTTGATATTACATGTTCCGGTAGCGAATTCCAATAATTCATTACTCGATGCGAGAAACGAAACCCCAGACGTAGACGATTTGATCCCGATTTTTGGACTTTCTTCGGATGTACTCGCAAATGATCAGTCCTAGGCGGAAGTAAGAGATAAGACAAAATAATAATGATCATATGGTATTCATCCTAGGATTATGAAAGCCATATCAGATGTAATTGCTGAAACATTAGCGATACCGTCTGACATGTCTCTATGGCAGTCCAGACCACCCAGAGGCTGGAAAGACGCTATAATAATTTCGGTGTATAAAGTTGGGAGTAGGGATTTAGTTAGCAACTATAGGCCTGTTAGCTTAACTAATGCAGTTGTAAAACTGATGGAAAAAATCATTCGGATATCTATCATAAACTATGTTGAAGGGCATAATCTTTTCTCCAGGGAATAACGTGGTTTTCGAAGAGGCCTATCATACTTGACAAATCTTCTCATCGTAAGAGAAGATTGGGCTGCTGCAAAAGATCGGAATATTCCTGTGGATGTGATCTACATAGATCTAAGTAAGGCCTTCGATAAGGTCTCCCACTCTGGTCTAAAATTCAGACTGGTGATACCACTAATACATATGAACTGTCATTCAGAAAAGCTCTTTTCACGCAGAATGCTGATTTTTTCATGACCTCCTGATCGACCAAACTAGCAGTAATTGTAGTACATGAGTACATTCAGAAAAGACGCACTTTAAAGGCAACGCTCATGGTCAGGACAACTAGACAGAAGTGTTAACGGAAAACGATAAACGGATGCAATAAATTGGATGCCGTTACTTATTTTATTTGCTTGCAGACATATTGAAGTCAAGAATCTTATCCTTGAGGCTGAACATTTTGTTTGAAATAACTTCTGTATCGTAGCAACGACAGCAGCTATTCAACATTGTTGTAAGTTCAGCACTTTAAATTAACATTATTGCAGCGAAACTTTACAACGTTTACAGGACGTCAATGATAGGAAGCTAATATTCTTCATGAAATAAGTATACAGCTTTGTATTTGTTTACTGTACGTACTGGAATAATTTTATCAGTATCTTTAAATTTATTAAATACGCCATGGAAAAGATTAAACATATGTCTCGCACCTTTAAATAGGTCTTACGTCTACAGTTTGTTTGAGATCATTAAATCGACCTTATTCAGTCTTTATACTCAGCCAACCCAATCTCTCAATTTCGGGGAATATTTGACTCATTTCACATTTGTGTAGGGAATGGCACCAAAACCTCAATATTTCCCCAAACCTTCTCCTAAACCTTGGTGAAGGTCGTTCGGCCTTCGTGATTTCCCCAAAATTTCTCCAAACTTTGGAAATTGGGAAGTAGATACCAAGTGAACTGTTTATCAAAAATATGTTCGAAAGGTGTTGTCGTAGTAATGAAATAATTAAATACCAAATATTTATATTAAGTAAGAAACATATTGAAAATAGTATACAAAGCTAATATCGGGTAGTTCGAACATTACGGTCGCAGAAATGGAGATCTAACTGCCCTGTAAATTGTTCTTTCGCTTGTCAAAAGTTATAAGACAAAAAAACAAAAATTATGATTCATAGTTTCACAAATAAATACATATTCAGAAAAGATTTTGAGTTTATATACTTGTTTTCTACTGGCTTTCCAAAGCTTCAGATTATCCATTTATCTAACCAACCGATCGGACTTTAATGAATTCAAAAAAAAGATAAACAGCTTCTCTTTAGGACTCCGTCTAAGATGTCGACGTAAGATTTTAAATATAGCAAAGTAAAGTTTCAAGCCAAGCGTCTTCTCACAGGGACTGACGGAACGGATTAAAAGTACAAAACAAAGGTCTAACCAAATGAGTCTGTATGTCAAAGTTGAGCCATCCTTTTTTGCATAGGATGACCGAGTAGTTTAACTGACCCTTATTGCTGCATATATTAGCAGGTTGGGTTTTCTCATCTTTAATATTCACCTAGCCTGACCAATTGCTCACGTTCAATATAATTTGGGCTTTGTAAATCAATTAAACTATACTATACTTCCGAATCCGTTTTTTCATAAACTTTGATTTCATTAAAGCAATTCAAACTTTGTTCCAAACTGATTTTTAGTCGTAGAATTTGGTGTTAGGTTTTTCTAGGTAAACTGTCAAACTGTCAGATTTTAAATGGCAACTGTAACAAAACCGGATACGAAAAGAACGTATCCTAGTTGGTTTGAAAATCTCCACACTGAAAGAAAGGCGGCTGAAGGTAATCGGGATATATCATATGATCATCGTCAATTGGTTAGAGCTACACGCATCGAAACAGATATAAATACAAAGTACGTTAAAATTAATGCGTTTGATCTAGTAATAAAGTTTAAAACACATAGAACATAACATTAGAGTGTCATTAGTAAATCTGTTTATATTCTTTCCATAATGTGCTTTTTAGTTATTTCGTTACACTTATATGATCATATTTCTGCGACCTAGAGGTAAATTATTTATCGTCTGACATTTATTCCTCATCCCACATTGACAAATTAAGTTTGAAAAAGTGCTTGTTATTATCGTTTTCTCTCGAATTTTACATCCTATTATTGTTTAGTTATAATGAGAAGTTAATTTAAAGGTTTTTTTACTTAGCTTATACCATTCACTTCAGTAAAATCCGCAGTAGATTGAGTGTTTTTTTAACCAATAGATTATAAACAATGAGAACTTGAGGAAGGATAAACATGAATCTGTATTATCGCACTTTACACCAACACAATGATATGAAACTATCAATTAATCCAGAATAATCATGGCATTAGAGTAATAAGATTAAAATGCACATAAGTAAGCTTGAAAAAATAACACCCTAGCATGAAAAGTATGAAGAATTTTAAAACTCGAGGTATAGAGGAAAATAATGAACAAACTATAGTACGTTATCACTATGGACGTTTCGTGAATATGAGCTACAGTTATTGTGCTAGAAGTCTGAAACCAATGAAACAGTTCAGACGAAGTCTCAATATGGCTATCGTTAACAACATTTCAGCTTACTCGTATGCCAATCATTGCGACATATAGATGTGAGAGGTGGGCGGTCATGATTCAGAGATTCAAAGTTCATGTTATTGAATGAAGTATCACAGCCTCAACTTCTTTATTAAATTTAACCGATACCATAAGCCTTAACCCAATAATACTTACTCAGTGTTTATATTTGATGGAGTCATTGCTTAAAACAACATTTGTAATCGAATACTAACAACGTAAATTGACTTTTACCTCAATGGCCTGCATCTGACAGTCATAATGCAGTGAGAATATTACCGACGATGGTGAATAGTTTTTTTAAATTACAGTTTTTGTAAACGAAAACGAACTACTGAAGTTTTAGTGTAAAGCTGTAAATAACAGAGAAAAACAAATGTTATTGATATTATTAAATGACGGTTATGCAGTATTGTGAATTAGGCGGAGTTTTGTTCTTTAAGCTGAATCATTTGATTGTGAAGCTTTCACTGTTTTTCTTAACATTTCATTTCTACCTGAAGTTTGTGCTGATGATGTTAACCAAAAGAGTAATGAAATATTCACGATAAAAACATCCAGTGCAAAGAACAAAACTCCAAACCATCAACTTGAGCAATAAATACTCCTCACCATCTCAAAATATTGTCGATTGACTAAATTTAAAAATGCTAGTCATATAATTCCTATCCAACCATTAAAAAGTGCCACGATTGTTGTCAGTCATGAACGTCTTAAAGGTACATGAAGGAGTTTTGAATGAATATAAAATAAATGTTCTTCGTTTTCTGGTCTATAATAGTACTTGAGTTGATATTGCTCATTGCTGAAAAATAATCACAAATTGGACATTGTTTATGATTTTTCATACTCATCATTGTTAATTTCAGTAAATATTTGTTTTAAGGTGTCGTACACTATATTAGTGATCATTCGTAGTTTTTTTAAAAAAGGAGATTATTGTGAAACAACATTGAATGGTTAGGTGTAAATTATTAAGGTGTGCAGAAATTTCGGCTAAGTAGTCATATATCCTATTAGAGTTCAACTAAATGGATTCATTAAGAGACTCATGTTCATGATTTTTATTTAGCATCCATTGGTTTACAGTTGCAAATTGAATGAATTTAGCAGTTTAGAAATATAAAGATTGAGCGCTCACCGAGAGACCCTATGGTCATGATTTCGATTATGTACACGAAATGTTGTAGAATATCATAACATGGCGAAAGACTGAGCCAATGCCTCTCGGTGTTCAATGGTTGTCTAAGATCAGTCTGTGATGCAAACTATGAAATTTAAAACTCTTGATCACCCATATTTATAGTAGCCACTACTGAATCATCAGTTGATAAAAATCTATTTTTATTCTCTTGTCATATCATATTTGTTTTATTTTAATAGATATGATCAACTCCAAAGAAATAATCAATTATCTGATCGTATATGGATTGTACGTCAATGGCGTGACAAATTAATTACTCAATTAAATAAACTCAAGCAAAAAGACACTCATTTAAAAGCTGGTAAACATAAAACACAAGAATTTATGATTAAATTAAATGATTCATTTGATGTCAACATTGAATCTCTAACACATTTGGATCGTAGACAAAATGATGAGAATATTATTGATCCTGTTTTTAAGGAATTAAACATGGTAACCTTTGTTGTGTAAATAGCCATAAATTTTATTATATAAAATATTGTAGTCATTAATTTACTCAAGCTTTTAGTTTGCTGACAAAACTAGTTCTGAAATCTAGGAAGTGAATAGGTTCGGATAACAGGATTATTAGCCAACTGAATAAACTTATCATTAAGGGATTAAGACTAACACCCATACTGGAAAGATAATCTTTGACTGGTGTATCAAGTTGCGTAGATTCAAATCTCACAAAGAGGATTAGTTGTCACGTGATTTTGAACACTTTGTAATGACAAATATTTAGTAACACAAAATGTAGGCCGATGTATTTTTGAATACACCCTTCAACCATCGAGCAACAAACAAACTGTACTTTAATATCAAGTTACTTAAAATAATAAGCAAGTAATATAGGAGATATCAGGTGTAATTCATTATAGTGACAGTTATTCGATTGATTTATAAAATCTGCAGTTTAGTCAAGGGTTAATTACATACTGAGCAATTGTCATTATTCCAAAATTAGTTATTTACAAAATATGGATACTGTAGTGATTAATAGTAAAGATACAGGCTGGCATAGCAATGTTTCAACATATACATAGTGTGAAATATACTGAAAAAAGTGCTAAAAGACAATATTTATAGGGAACATGAAGAAAGTTAATTATCAGATTATATTAATTAGTCAGAGATTTGTAATTAATTTCATGACTTCTAATTCTTAGTACCATTCGAATTATAATAATCTAATGGCAATATAACCACTAGTATAAATCATTCAATATCTTAGGCTCCTTTGCCTCTCGGTAGTTGGAGGCAATCGTCAGAATATATATATATATATATATATATATATATATATATATATATATATATATATAATTTTTTATCTTAAATGGTGTATGAGTACAGAAACGTGGTAAACCAATTGCCTCCTAGACTATCAGCTCTCCACTCAACGTTAAGATTTTGGGTCCGAATAGGTTTATGGAAGACACTAATGATGAGTTTTAATGTGAGTTTAGGGAATTATTCAATGCTCCCTATTTCCTAATGGTTTTCTGGTTGATGTAGTTCTATAAATAAAATTACCTGCAAACTGAACTGTTCTTCACAAGTTATCAAACTGAAAAGTAGGACGTTGAAGGATCTCCTATGTTTGTGTATGGCAGCATATATAGAGTTTCAGAACTAATGTAAAATTTAATCAAATAATAATTATTCATTTAGAACCAGTTCTTGATATCAATGTATCGAATAGAGAAAATAACAAAAGACAAAATTAACAATCAAGGAAAACGTTTCACTTTTTTTCTTGTAAGAAATTGAAATAATGAACTCAGGTGTACATGTTTTACTACTCATTAGACCAGAAATGAAAACAGAGCTGTCATATCCAATTCTTGCATGTCACATAACAATGTGAGCAATATAACATGACAGTATTAAATATCTCTGGTCATTCATGTAACATTTAGGCACTACATTTAAAAAAGTACAAGTATATATAAACGCTTGTCGACACAAAATACTCAATGTCCGTCGGTTGGATAACATCAGCAACAGCCCACTATGGGAGAGAACAAATCAGCTTTCTGACGAAGAGGAAATTAGAAAAAAACCCTCGAGGTGGATAGAACATACATCATGAAAATCATCAAACTGCATCATGAAGCAGGCCCATACTTGTAATCCTGAAGGAAACAGGAAAAAAGGAAGACCATAGAACACATTACGTCGGGGATTGGAAGCTGGCATCAAAAGGATGAATAGTAATTTGAAAGAACTGGAAAGGATTGTATAGGACAGAGTTGGATGGAGAATTTCTGTGGGTGGCCTACGCTTCTCCACAAGGTGTAACAGACATAAGATAATAAGTACGTAAAAGCATAGAGTAGTTAGTGACTTGGTCACGTTTCACAAAAGTAGAACTGTACAGTGCGAACTGTTGTACACTCTACTTGATCATTAATTAAAATTCATATAATTAATTGATAACATTTTAGTATTGAATAACTGAACGATTAAATAGGGAAAATTTCTTTGAAAATTTTCTTCACTGTATTCGACTAGCAAAATATTCATTTTTAATTCTATCAGGAACGTGATCTATTGAAAGAAATACAAACAGATCTTCAACGACAAATCGACGAAGCAATTCATTTATTAGTTGAAATGAATAATGTAGCAAAACCATTTTATTCAGATATTTTTAATAAAAATGAAGCTGTACATATCGATATTGATGTTTATAATTTGAATGAAAAGTCATCTTGTATTAGTCAAAAACCGTTCTGTGAACGTTTACCAGAAAGGTGAGTGAATAACCATCACTGATTGGAAACAGGATATTTATTCATCGAAACGTTTAATGAGTTGATACACTTTGATCCTCTGTCTATGTTGTCACGTCCATATCTTTAATAGTGTATTAATATAATCTCACCGACTGCCAACTTACGTCACCTATAGAGATGGTGAGATATTCATCTATCAATTAAAGGACAAGTATACTGAGCAGCAGTTCGCTCTGTTCTATTTTACGGCTGAGAAACGTAGACATTAGGAGTAGAAGATATGCGTAAGTTAGTAGTATTTGATCACAGATGTCTTAGAAATATGGCTTGCAATTGCTGGGATCACTGGGTAAGTAATAGTGTTTATATCTAACAGTTTTGTACTTTTATAGTCCTGAATGTTGGCATTCTTTAGACCAATTAACTGTAATTATACTGTGGTGTATGCTACTGATGTCGACAGATATAAGTAGTATGTATCATCAATCGAAAGTGAAATGTCTGGTGGCAGAAAGTTAAGAAGATCGAGGGAGAGAGAACGAGAACAAAGAATGACTGGTGTAGAAACGAAGGAACAATCAAGTCTGGGACGATTGATTGGTATTTTGCAAATGAAGTATTTACTGTATGGTTCTCAGATTTTACAAAGAGATTCTGTAATTTTGTATTCCAATACATTTGGTTGTCCCCCACCGGTGTTCTCGTTCAATACAAAACGTTCCGTTATTCGAAAATAACACTCAGTAATGGTTTACAGTTCTATAATAAAAGATATCTTAGTTGTGTAATTACGGAGGTTGAAGAACTGTTGTGCATTATATTCTTAGATTTACCATATGCAGTCATGTAAGATATAATAAAGAATTGGAAATCCCCTGTAACCAATAATTTTCTCTTCAGCGGAACTAATTAAAAGGTTCTGAAAAGAGGATTTTTGTTGTGTATTGACGCCTTAAAAAGTACAGCAACTGAAGTAAACAAACGTAATAGAGGATTGATTCTGTAAATTTATTCAACCAAAATGAAAATCCGAGGTAGAGAGGGATGGAGGCAATGAATAATGATTAAAGACTAATAGTATATATAGGTAGTCATAAAGACCAACGAAGTGAACCCGTGTATTGTGACTCTAGTTATATAAGTAATCCGATTGCACATTGTAACTTAAATATGGTTTCCTTTGATTTCACATACAACCTGCATATATTGTGTGACATGTCATGTTCATGAGTCGAGTGAGGATATGAGTAACAATTAAAAATAAATAGAATAAGAGAATAGTGGTTCACATGTAAACTGGAATATATCCAACCAAAGATCATCTGGTATTCCATTGATTCTGTGAAGCAAAAGTAGTACAGCGTTTTGGGTAATTATTAATTTCAAAAGTGTAGAACTGAATGCATATATCAAGAAGCCCAACAATTGGTTCTGCAACTTCAGGATACAAAAGATATTGTTTCTATAACTAATGATTTCCCTACCATTTTCTTGAGTATAGAAATATATAATCACAGTCGACAACGGTTATGCGAAAGATATACCTCTGTGGTGGGATAACGCCAATGCTTCCTTTCTGCCAATGTTCAAATGGTATCTATGAGGATCAATAGCATCTTTTTTATATCTATTAATGTTTGTTTATTTATCTGAGCACAGGAATATTGGTACAAAGGGGCATATGCGCCACACATATTTCATTCGCGTTGTTTGAGAGCTGTGATATTGCTCAGGTGCCCAAACCGAAGCAGGTGGTTTTCTTAGAGGGCCACAAATGGAGCCTTTGACCTAAAGGTCTGTTCCACAAGGCAGTGGAGCGACGTAAGGCGATGCAGTCACACGGTATCCGGTGGCCAACAATAGGTTAATACGCTATTTGTTTCCGCAGGATACTGGAGCCCATGTGCACAATTAATTTGGAATCAGGGCTTTCCAACTCCCCTAGGTATATGCTCTATATTCATCAATATAGTAAAAGCACCTGACATTCGCTCTTCGTCCTCTCAATTTCGCAAACAACAGTAATACCGCGAGAAGTCAGTGAATATGACTTCCCTGACAGTAGCTGGATACGCATGGCTATGTGAGCATTTGGAGAGGGAAAGCTGAATCTCCACCCTCGGCCGTACTAGTGCCTGATCCTGTCATGTTTTTGCAGGATAATATCAAAATTCATTTAGTTTTTACTACTTCATTCCAATTTTTTCTAAACTAAATTTGATTATTTGAGAACAATAATCAACATGTTTTGTGGAATTCACGTTTGTTACTTGGAGATTTTACAATCAAATGTCTTATTTACAGTAATCCTACACAACTGCCCATCGTCCCTATCTCACATTTTTGTTCAGTTCAATACAAAAAAATAAATGAGAGTCCGTTCAATGGGAACCATAACATCTACAAAGAATATACGATGCCTTACTATTAGGTCTAACAGCCAGGTCCTAATTGATTGGAGAATCAGTGATGTATATGTTAATTTCTCCCAGTCTGCATAGACATCGCAGGACTAATCAATGGCATTACATCTTTTGTTCCGTTGGTGCATTCTCGAAATGACTAGAGATTCTGCCAGTGATCCCATTGATAAGCGACTGGAACGCTACCAGATACAACGTACTCAAGAACACATTATCCTCATCCCTGACAACATTCGAAACGATAGAGCTTGCAATTCGGACGTTATTTACATTCATAATTTGGAGAAAAAGTGATCAGTTGAGAAGTATTTACCTGTTAGATCGATTTCCAGAAATAAATAACCATTTATTATTATTTTAAAGCTAATTAGTTAATTGCACGAAACAAGATGACAAAATTTTTATTTAAAAATGGTACAAAAATCACCGTGCGTAAATGAAATTCCAACAGCAACAACCAAAAACTCCAGATACTGCCAGATATTTTCTGTCAACTGATGAACAGATATTACAGTGTCAAATAATAGATTACAATTTACTTCCAACCTTTCTTAACAGTTTTACTGTCAACAACCCATCATATAAATTCGTTCACTACCGTAGCATCCTCATTCGAATGGAAAACCAAAGCGATTTGATGAAACTTAAAATTAATGAGAGGAGGAACGCTCCTTGATGTTCCACAATTTGTCGTTAGTGCACAGAACTACACCAAGTGATTCACCACCAAATCAGAAATCGCCAGCTAAAATATTCATGAGCTTCAGATTGAGAGCAACTCACTCACCTGGTGTTACCAAAAACGATTGTTTGCAAAAAAAGGAATGGTACAAGTGAAAACCATGGGATTTGAAAATGGAGCTCGTGTATTCATCCGATATTAAAGACCGAGGTACAACACATGAATAAAGAGGTGTGTAACTCGGAGGTTGGGTCAGGTAATGTATGGTGTAGCGGTTGGAAAGACAAATGGATACAACGTTCCAGTCAACTACGAAGATATGTATCATAGGAGAGTACAACGACAATTTGACTCTGAGAACACTACTAGACACTTCCAGTCTACCGCAACCCCCGTTTGACACATTAGAAAGAAAGAAATGACACCTCCAGAACAAGTAGACCTATGACTCAAATGGTCGACCAGAAAACGGTGGAAGATAATTCAGTTTCAAGTGAACTCAAGAGAATCACGCTATTAAAATGAGAGATCATGGAGATGTCCGATTGCAAATTACAAATAATTAGATGTGGGTCAATATCTATTAGATTCGAATTCTGTTGCAGCTGATTATTTAGTGCGAACACTATTAGTGAAAATTACATACGTTTTTACGACGATCTATATGAATGACTACACTTTAAATATAATTATTTTCTACTCATAATTAATCAATAAACTTCATAAAGCTCGTTTGCGTTTTGCCAATCTACGTCACCGATGGCGTAGGCAAGAGATCCAACTACCCATTAAGGGGCGAGTATACTGCACAGCAGTTCGCTCTGTTCTATTTTACGGCTGAGAAACGTAGACATTAGGAGTAGAAGATATGCGTAAGTTAGTAGTATTTGATCACAGATGTCTTAGAAATATGGCTTGCAATTGCTGGGATCACTGGGTAAGTAATAGTGAGGTTAGACGCAGAGTATTGGGGAACGGTGGTGAATCAGTAGATGAGGTTATAAATCTTCGTCGACTGAGATGGTTAGTCCGTGTTACGTATGCCTGAACACCGATTACCACGACGCGCAATGCTGACTAGTGTAGGGAATGGTTGGAAGAAAGTTAGGGGCGACCAAGCCAAAACGTCGTATGAGTGCTTGAGTCACTAACTTCTATTATTAGCCATGTTGGTAGATGCAAACTACTTGGTTGGGGTCCGCGTGACTATCGTAACCAATGGTTGGAGACTCTGAATGACATGTCTTAGAATCGATCACAATGGCGTCGATGTATGCACTCTTTATCTTCCCTTGAACTGTGGAATTAAAATTGCTTTATACTTTTTTCCATGAACTAATTCTTTCTTCCTGTACTATATCTTTATAAACAGTCTTTCTTATATATGGTACTACCATTGAAGTAACTACTTCTATGAATTTGGTGTTCATCCTGTTGTGCTGATGAGGTATGGCAACTCGGACCGATGAATATATGTGCGTGGGCCTATGTTGTAACTGATTGACTGACTAAATCAATAAACTTAATATAATTTAGTTGGTTTTCAACTGATCAGCTTTAAAAAGTTTCAACCGCAAAACTGGTGTTTTTATTCTAGTTAATGGGGTAAGTTAGAGTGATGAATTATTAGCAAAGTGCATGAACGCACCAGCAAAACGTGGTACAGATGGTGTAAAGCAACATTGATATAGAATAAATAATTATCATTAAAAACGATCATCTGATGGAGAGGATGTTGAGATCGACTATATAAATCAATCAGTCAAAGTTAAAATAGAATCTGGTACACGTGTGTATTGGTTGAAGTTGCTAAACAATATCTGCATAGCGAGATGAATCTATCAAAATAGATCCAGATTAGTAGAAGTATTAACAATGCCAGTATTAGTAGTGATAGAAAATATGGGGTATGGAAGA